ATTAGCTAGCTATTTTTTTCGAATTTCCGGTTTCCTAATATTTTTCCTCATTTCTATGAACATCATTGATAGATTGCTTCCCATTCCTCTCCTCGAAGTGACGAAAATAGTGCGTAGGGCCAGTGTTTGCAAATTGTTTCCCCTTATAATTCATTTTTGTGGTCTGATATTGATTCATGATTTGAATTCCTCTTAACTGATGTCTTTACCAGAAAATTTTACCAATGTCAAAAACCGTGGTTTTCCAAACTAATTACGGCTATACGAATTCACTCCTGGTTGGATAAGCTACTGCTGGTATAATTTTAATTTTGTTTTAACGGTTTCGCAGCTATTATTAGCTATTTCATGAAAATCCCTTGCGTTTCCTTTAATCATGAGAACAACAGAAATTACGAAAAAAAGAATTCAGATTTTATCAAAAGATTTTTTGTGCAATGATATTTATGGTCCGAAAGTTCTCTGCTACTTGTACAGCAATCGGCTTCTTTTTTGGTAACTGGTTATTCTGTACCACACAAGCTTTGTCCTTGGTCATAATCGGTTTAAAATAGTCAGTTCGATTGCCTCGCCTTTGTCTATTTAAAAGAAGATCATTTTGCATTCCAGGCTGGAGCGAGAGGTAAGCATGGCGAATGCAAGGCTGGAGACACTACATCAGATGAGAAAAGATCGAGGGGATTTTGATGAAGATGAAGATGAAAATCAAAGCTGATAAAAAGTTATGATCTTATTTCTTCGCACCTAAAAGCTGTAGCTTCTTTATTTAAATTATATGCTTCTTCAACTGAGTGTGATTATAATTTTATATGGAATTCTAAAAAAATAATCCTCTGACCTTTAGGTGATTTTCAAAAACTTCTACAGTATATTAGTTAAAAATGCTCAGTGTACCTATTGAATCGAATCTCGATTGACAGGTCTTCTGATTCATAAAAACGTTTGTTCAATGCGTAAGATGGTTTTAATCGTGTACCAACAGAAGCTTAGTTTTGTACATTAAATGATTCTATTTGAAAAGAAATTGACTAATTGATTTTTGCATAAAGGCTTGTTTTTAATCAAGTAACAAAGAGTCTGGTCATGTAAATGCATGGTCATTTTTCATAAAATAATAGTTTGTGAATTTTAACGGTAGCACTACTGGATGAAAAAACTCGTAGAGACATTATCCTGTGTATTAAAAAATGTTCTACTTTTTTTGACTGCCCTCGGTTTACGTTGTGAAATGGGTTGACGCTTCAAAAGAGTATCTGCAGAGAATAATTCGCTTGAAATTTTGAGCGATTTATTTCAACATTTGCGAGACCAAGTGTCTTGTAATCGGTAACTAGACTTTTCTCCCGCAAAAAATTTTGCTTACAAATATGTGAGAAATTGAACTTGCTTTTTATTGAACCATAACAACTTACAGTTTCGTTCCACCTTGGCCTAGATGAAACGTGGTCGCAATTGCACCTTAGGGTCTGGGATGTGAGTCCTGGCCTTTTTTTTCAGCATGTATCATATTGATTTTTCCCCCTTTCTGCTGAAGTTTTGTCGGCATAGTTGCCAAATCACGGTTTTTTTCTATGCTGTAAACAAGCTTTGCTGTAGTTGGAAGTGTTGTTCATAGTAGTTTCAGGGGGACTTGAAACGTTTTTTTAAAATAAAAAATCATTTTTTTTCCGGCTCAGCTGGTGTCTGTTCAGGGTGTGTCGGGGTTTTTCCCCGCTTCTTATTAAATTTTGTTCAGTTGCTTGTTTAATATTCAGTATATTTACCTACAATGATTTTTATCGAGATATACAAAAGTTTTGGTTGACTTTTTTTTCAAATTTTTTTTTAACGATAAAAGCTCCGCTTCGCTTTGAAAATCGTCAAATTTAGTTGAATTTTGAAAAAAAACTGAATACTCAATTCTGATACGATCCTTAGTATTTTCCATCATTTGTTCAAGCGATCAGATTTTCCCTCGCTTTTTGGCTTTAACTATTTGACAGTTGAGTAATGCAACGTGTATGACAGATAAGTAATGCGAAACGACGTCAGTTTACCATTAAGAGTCGATGAACGTAGTGGTTTTTTTGTAGGAAAAGTCTTTAAAAAGCAATATTAGATTTTTGACGTTCGCCTGGAAAACATCCATTTTTATCAGTCTAAAATTCTCAGATATAATAAGTAGCAATTACATCCTTCACAAGAAATAAGCGCATACATTCAGTTTGGTAACTACTATTGTGAAATTTGCGAACGGTTTACTTTGCCATAAGTTCTTCAATTTTTATGGCTTTGCGATTAGATCAGGATTCGATCCAAAGTTTTTAGGCTGAGATTTAAAGAGTTTACTACTGGTAACACAATGGTTCAGATAGCAATTTTTCAAAAATTTATTGCATTTTTATTTCGACTCCAGCTTTGCGAAAGCTGGCAAAACCAGAAATTGCTAATAAGAGCAATTTGCTATTTCGGTAAAATTTTGCGAGCGATTTTGACATTTTTAGGCCAAATCCGTGACTCAAGATTATCTGAAACGTCAAAAGTGTCTGCAAAGCTCTGTCAACATTTAATGCTTGCTCTTTTCTATTAATTTTGTCTGTCTCAATTTTTTCAATTCGATTTGTATTTATCTGTGACTATGAGCACAAAAACCGTTGCGTTTCAGGTTAGATCTCAACACAATTCTACGTGCTGAAATGACTGCGGTGTCAAATTGGCGCTTTAGTTTTATTAACTTAGTTCAGATTCGTTGGCGTAAAAGGATATTCCCAGCAATTTGGCATAAACTATTATAAGTAGCAAAAATTTGGAACAGACTGAAATAATTACAGACAATGCCAAATTGTTAACAGTATCTTTTCAGGTTAACGGGTTTGAATGAAGTTAATTAACCTAAAGTAGCTCATTTTTATGTCGGAAATTAATTTTCGCATTTTTCCGGTAAATAAGCTTGTCAAAAAACCAATGAACTTAAAAAAAAGCTCTGTTCTTGTACCAAGAAGCTGCAGAAAGTCACTGATATTGCCAATTGCTTGACATTGTTGACCATAAAAAAGCAATGTTCCTTGATATAGTTTTTCACAAATTAATCGGACAACGTCTAAAGTCTGAAATAATTTTGACCTTGAGACAGTGAAATGGCGTTAAAATGGCAATCGAATTTTCAACACTGCATTTGAACTGACAAATGAGCAATGCAAAATGATTGCGCTGTTTCAGAAAATTTCATTTTTGCCATATTTGAAGGGCACAATTGAAAATTTTTTTCATTCAACAACGATTTAGCAAAAAACACATAAAATGCCGAAAAGAAGGCAAAGCGAAACTTCAAAGAAGATAATCGATTTAGTTAGTATTTGAAGGTCAAAATATTTTCAGAAATTTAATACGTTGTCCGATAAATTTGTTAAACGCTATATATTTAGTAGCAACTGTTGAACAGACAGAAATAATTAAAAATAACAATCTGCCAATTTTGAGCACTTTTTGCGAGCAGATTAGAATTTTTGGTTGACCTTGAGACATACCTTTTTTGTCAGGTGAAAAGTTGGGTTTTGCATGAAAAACTTGTCTGTAATAAGTCATTGCTCTTTTTAATTAATTTTGTCAATTCTGGAACAGACAAAATTAATTACAAAGAGCAACTGACCTTTTTCAGAATTTTTTTTGCTTGCAAAAGTCAAGTCTCAAGGTCACCTAAAATTTCAAATTTGCATGCTAAAGTTGCTCAAAATTGGTAGATTGCTCTTTTCAATTATTTTTGTCTATTCCAACTTGTTGCTATAATTGGTAGCAAAAAGTTCGGACAGACAGAATTAATTAAAATGAGCAATCAGTGCTTTTCGACGCTTTTTAGGTCGAAAAGTTCAAGGAGCTGCATTGATTGGACAACCTTGAACTTTTTGTCAGACCAAATTCGAAATGCGAGATCGTCGATTATTCGATGATTATACTAGCCTAATTTTTAAATACTGCGATGAACATCCATATTTTATTATAAATTAGTTAGCAAAATAAGTTGAAAAAACGAAATCTAGAATTTTTTTCCACAAAAAAAAACAAATTAGGCTGCCCCAGAAAAACAAACGGAAGTGAAGATGATCAAATCATTCAAAATTTGGAAACTAATCGCAGAAAAACCTTAGCCACCCTGAGCAATAATTTTCCTGTTTCAAGGTTTACTATTCGACGCCTCGGATGCAATGGCCCGACATGGTTACAAGTTTTGAGCAAAACTCTGATTTATGAACTTTCGACATAATGTTTATTTCAGTTTTATATCGCGTTCATGTCTAGACAGTTGCTCTTTTTAATTAATTCTGTCTTTGAACTTTTTGCTACCAATTATAAGTTATTATAAATGACATTAGCACATAATGTCCACAAAATATGTATTATATTCCTATCGGGAACTCAGGATCCTGCTATGGGTTGATACCCTTCGAACATGGAACGATGTCTTGGACGAATGTCTGGAGCTCAATGTCTATACAGACACTTCTTCGGTGACAAACAGGCTACCGTAGTAGCACCCAAAAACCGCGAGCAGCTAGAGGTGTTTCGCAACTGGGTCATTGTCAAGGGAATTCCTAAAAAGGGACCTACTGGATTCTGGAAGGACTATCACAAACTCGAGGAAAACAATGTCGATGATTCTTCGCATTATGCTCAAGAGACCCACGTTGGTAGGAAGAATCGGAATCTGTATATTGACTACGTACTGAGGCGAAAAATACTACCAGACGACAGAAATCAAACTCAGACAGGAATTACTAGAATTGATCGCGTCGAACAGTGCACTGCACAGAAAAAAGTGCACGAAAAGCAGTACCTTGGACTGGACGTTTATTACATGTTGGATGTTCCAGGAGCAGCCGTCTGTGAAAGGAGTCCAGAAATAGTAACTGTGGAGCCGTAACGATTATAGTTTGAGTAAATCTTGATAATGTTTCGTTATAATCGTCGCAAGCTGCTGGCATAAGTACAGAAATGTAATGGCTTACCTAGGTTTAATTAATTTCAGAAACCGAAATGGGAAAACTAATTGACGAAGTTGGCACTGGAGTAATCACTGGGAAGAAGGTGTTGAAGGTGTTCGAGTGTGCAAGGAAACATGGCTTTGCCATCCCTGCTGTCAACGTCACCTCCTCTAGCACCGCCAATGCAGTGATGGAGGCTGCCAAGGAGCTGCATTGTCCAATCATCCTGCAGATATCGAACGGAGGCGCGGCTTTCTTCGCCGGAAAGTCGATCGACAACAAGAAGCCACCCCAACATGCATCTATCGTAGGGTCGGAGGCGGCCGCTCATTTCATTAGGTACGTCAAATTTAACTTGAAACAATTATGGGTTTTTAATTATTTTTGCGCTAAAAGTAATGGCTTCACTATCTAAATCGATTACTTCAAAATTTCAAAACTAAAAAATTTTTATAAGTGTACCACTTTTTGAGGTTCAAGTTAAATATTGTTCTTTTATTTTACAGGGCCATCGCTCCCTTCTACGGCGTCCCAGTCATTCTGCACTCGGACCACTGCGCCAAGAACCTGCTGCCCTGGTTCGATGGAATGCTCGAATCGGACGAGAAATATTTCCAGAAGACCGGTGAGCCCCTGTTCAGTAGCCATATGTTGGATTTGTCTGAGGAAACTGATCCAGAGAACATCGGAACTTGCGCTAAGTACTTTGCTAGGATGAAGGAATTGGGAATCTGGCTTGAGATGGAAATCGGAATCACCGGCGGGGAAGAGGACGGAGTTGATAACACGAACATGGACCAGAGTCGTCTGTACACTCAGCCGGAGCAGGTGATGAATGTACACACAGCTCTTAGTGCCATTGACGAGAAGTTCTCGATTGCGGCTGCGTTTGGCAATGTACATGGTGTGTACAAGCCTGGAAACGTCAAGTTGAGCCCAGAAATGTTGGGCAAGCACCAGGTGTACGTCAAGGAGCAGCTTAAGTCTGAGCTGGATAAACCGCTGTTCCTAGTGATGCACGGAGGATCCGGATCGACTAAGGAGGAAATTGCGTGCGCGGTCGGAAACGGAGTTGTGAAGATGAATGTTGACACGGACACCCAATGGTCCTATTGGGAGGGTCTGAAAGACTTTTACGAAGCCAAGAAGGGTTATCTCCAGGGTCAGATTGGAAATCCCGACGGCGCAGACAAGCCCAACAAGAAGTTTTACGATCCACGAGTCTGGGTTCGAGAAGCGGAAAAGACTATGGTAACCAGAGTGAAACAGGCCTGTACTGACCTGGGAAACGTCGGAACCCTGGACAAAGAGATCTAAGTTGAATTGATGAAAAATATTAATATCATCAATGATGACATTGACTACTTTGCACTACCTTCTCACCCTAAACCGAGCTAATGTTGGCACACTGATTTTATTTTTTATGTAACAAATGAACCTGAACCTGTTGCTAACTTAACTGCAATGAATTAATAATTACTGATAAACTGTTTTATTATTTGGAGAAAACTGAATTTCACGAACTGCCGTAGATTTGTAGGTGCTTGTATTTTGAATCTGAAAGCATGAGATATAAATATTTATCTACTGATGTAAATACAATTAACAATTGGCTGACTAGAGCTTTTGTTACTGCTAAGATGAAGACTTTTTTTGTCAAATGAAGTGTTTGATCGGGTGTGGCTTATGGTTGCTCTTCCTCTTAAAGATGGAGCATGTTTTTCGATTTAAGTGGACCGCAGAACTATCCAGTTCTCAAATTTCAAATAATATAGATTTTTTTCTGCTCCACAAGTTTTTATTCGCGTTCATTTTTATATTGGCGGTTTGAACTTTCAAGCTCTCTTCAGGGAATCTTTTAAGCAGAATAAACCGCACTGGCAGAAAATCTTAAATGCTACAAAAACTTTGCAAACATTTTGCTCCACTTATAGTTTCTAAAAGGATTCAGGTGTAGGTGTTCTATTCGAAAAACCATAATAACACATGGATCAGATTTTTCAAGAGAAATGAACGTAGTGAAGACTCTATATAGGTCTTGCTGTTTTTTTGTTTTATTTTCAGGAAATGTCTTTAAAGTCTCTAATAAATACAGATGTGCGTTCATACATACATATATGCTCTTTTTGAGTTCAATTGAAATTCATCTGCTGAAAGTGACGTGAATAGCACTCTCCAAACACGAACGTGGAAATGGCGCGAAAAAACCAACGATTTCTGGTTTCGAAAGTGACGTTTATTTTTTAGATTTCCAGCGAACTAAAAACTTTACATATTGATTCAGTTTTCTCTAGTTGGGTTCATTTTATCAAAAAAGTGCCGGTCATAAATTTTTCTAGAAATTCAAAAGACCTTAAAGGACAGCTATTTTTTTCTTCGAAAGTTGAAATTCGAAAAATGTGTTTTATGTTTACTTGCGTTCATTATTCTTTTCCAATCTTCGATTGGCAATGTTCTCAATTTTTCAATCTACGGGACTACAAAGGGTATACAACGTTCATCGGAAAAAAAATCGACTTGCTTAGGTGGATTTAAATTCAAAATGCCAGCGGAATTATTAACTCATGACTACCACTCTGTTGGGTATGTGTTCTTTTTTTTGTGTCGATTAACAGTTCAGACAATTATTGGGGTCCTACACTTTTTAAGGTAAAGTTTTGAAATTTGTTCATAACTTTTGGATCGGAGTGTAGTTTATTTCATGCATTAAGCTGAGCTTTGATATTTCCATTTTCTAGTTCAATTCGATTTCATCCAGTTTTCCTAAATTCTGTTAGGTTTAGCCAAAAAGAATCAATCAGAAAAGATTTGTGAATATCGAAGAGCTTAGACGTGATATATTTTTTCGAGACAACCATTCAAAAAAATTCAAACCATGTGTATCTAGTCCTCATCCGGTTTTGACTCCATTTCCGGAGTTATTTTTCAAACGAATACTCAAGATTGGATAATAGCGAAGGTTCAAATTTCTGCAGATTAGCTCAGTTAAAAAAAAAACAAGTTCAACTTGATCCTTGAACTACGCAAAAACTACTGTGCCAATTCTCAGTTTGTGTTCAATCGAGAAACCCGGTTTTGGGAATCTTCTCTGCTTAAGTGGCCACAGCCTGCTTCTTTCCGGAAAAAAGTTAGGGGATTTGGAAAACCTTTTGACCATTTTTAAATGTGTTGAACGTTTTCTAGAAAATTTTTACTGTTCTTATAATTTAGACAATCAAATCTGAGATGAAAAGTTCAATTGAAATAACCAGTTGCGATAACTGTTCCTGCAGAAGCGGCGAGTCCTGAATTTTTTTGTGAAAAAAATGTTATCTTTTTAGGAAAATTGATTATCTCAAAATTTTTTTACTCTTCAGTTGTTTTAGTGGAGAAACAACTAAGATTTTGGCCAAAGTCCAATTTTTTGTGCCGCATCAGTATTCCAAATTAATTCAATATCAAACATGTGCCTCCAGCTGTAGCTTGGCTCCTAGTTTTTTATCGAGATATATAAAAAGTTTTGGTTCACCTGATTTTTTCAACATTTAAATATTTTTTTTTCGATTTATGTTTCTATGTTTGTGTTGTATCGCAAGTGGTGCGAAGCTCCACTTCGCCTCAGTGTCAGAACACAATTCAGTATTTCTTAACATTTTAATACCACGAATTGCATCCAGGTTTTTTGTTGCGATAAGCAAGGGTATTAAAATAAGGTAGCAATCAGACTTTTTTCCCGTAAATATTTTTGTTCATAGAAAGTCATTTTCGAAGGATCTCATCAGAATTGATAAATTACTGATGTACCGCCTTAATATCCCATGTACTGCTTTATGTAGAGTTTGCGATTACTTTGAAGGCGCTACATGCAATTTCTTGTATATGGTGATTTTTCAAAAACTTTCGGATGAATTTCATTTTTTGGTTGTCGGCTTCTATCAGCTTAATTACTCTATCTATAAGATTATAATCTTTGACTCTCTTTTAGAAAACAAAAATGGAAAAAATTCATTTTTTGGAATTCAAAGGAAAATTTTTTCTTTAAGGAACTCGTTTTTTCTTTCGCAGAGTTAGTTTTTTGAAATTTCACTCGCTGCCTTTTGAGTGGCATGCTATGTTAATCATATCCGTTTTGAAGAAATTGGAAGAAATCATGAGTTTAAACGCAATTTTTGAGGTATAATTTTTGTTCCGTTTTTTCGCCAACTGGTCTTTTATATTGGTTTAAGTGCTCTGTAGCTTATATATCATGCAACAATAGCCTTTTTAAGAGATAAACTCCGATTTAGAAAGCCATTGTTATCAAATCAGATGATTTTCGAAAAGAAATCAATTGTTTTATTATAGTTTTGAGAATTTGTTTAGCTGTTTTTCGCTAATTTTTTGAAATGCTTAACGTTTTTCTCTTAAAACACTTCTTTGTAGTTTGCTTTAATTTAGTTTAAGCAGTGCAAACATATTTTGGTTTTATACGGTTTTGGTTTTTTGGCAGTGAAGAAAAATGCTGAAGTAGATGTCTGTTTTTTCGGCTGCATGGTTTTCGCTTAATTTTCTTTTGATTTGTACATAGTCTTTCTCATCGCATATAAAAAAATTCAAACATCGGTTAAATTTTACAAAACAATTCTGAATTTCTGTAAAATTTCTGCTTCTAAGAATTTTTTTCGGGATAACGGCTTATTTTGTCGGCTTAGTTTCTTCAGCATGCGACATCGGCTTATTTTGTCGGCTTAGTTTCTTCAGTTTTGCGACGTTCAGTTTTTTTTCAATATTGAAGAATACCAAATCCGGAATTGAACTGTTGCAGATAACGAACTGTGTTCCAAGATTTTGGATTGTTTGTTATTTTTTGCGAAAAGATTTCTTCTGCTGGAATAGTTTCGATTTGTTATATCGATTTGATTGCCTCGTGTTACGTCGTTTGAAAACTTGATCATATGTTTAAATTTTTGCAGACCATTTTTTCCGGCTTAATGGGCGTCTAACCAAGTCTTGTTTGCATAGTTGCCATTGGCTGAATTTTCTGTCAATGCTTTATTTATCGTTGGCATTTGTTTCTCGTGATCTTTTTATTGAATTGAGTTTTTCGAGACTTTGACTGTTAATTAAATTTGTCATTTTTGCTCGACTGATGGCTTTAAAGTGGCTCTGAAATTCGGTTTTTTTTTCTGTATCCTATTTTTGTGTTCTCTATTTTTTATCGACTGGTGGCTTTACAATTCTGTTTTTTTTGTGTTCTTTTTCGCCTCCGTATGAAAGTATGAGGTGAGCTGAAATAATTAGTGGCGCTAGACCAACAAGTCGAAGAATGGTTATTAAAAATGCTGCAGGGTCGACAGTCGAAATATTCACGAGAAATAACTGAGTAAATAAGATAATTTCCATTCCGCTCTGTTTGATTTTTTTTTACAAATTCCATAAACAGGACAGGACTTGAACAGCCAAAAGCCAAGCTTTAGAGTCAGAAGGTCTCCTATAAAGTATTTCAACGAACGGTTATGACTTCGAGCGTGAAAAGATAAAATTGAGCCAGAAACTGCTTAATTTTTGGCTTACTGGCTTTCTTGATTATTTCAGTAATTTGACTTTTCGGCACTTGCACTTATCGCGTAAATTGATTTCGGCCAACTTGGCACTTATCGCGTAAATTGATTTCGAGCCAAGTTGGTAGACTAAAATTATGGTTGCTACCTTTGTAGAATGCCATTTATGTTTTTTTCTCCTGATACTTCTCGGTGATACAGGTTTTTCCTTGAGCCTTCGGTGTGTTTGAAACTATATTCTGTAAAAGATAGAAAAGCACACCGTATAGTAAATTGGCGAACTATAATTTACATGGAATTTTATTAGTCTATGAACCTACTAAGTCGTCATTATAATAATTCAATTCAATCATTAGATCAAAGTGTAGTATACTCAATCTAAATATTTGCAACATCTTCGTTTTCGCCCTTCTATGTTTTCTTGATTTTCATAATTCACTTTTTAGGAAGATTTATCAGTTTTGTTGATTGAAAACTAGAATTTATGCTTCCAGTTTTATCCGGGCGGGTTTTAAATGAAGTAGGTATTACTCAATAGGTTCAAAATAATATTTGTATTATGCATCGCGTACAGTGCTTCAGTGCGATGATAAACTGCATTGTGTGGTATTAAATAGATCATTTTCCAAGTTCACGGTTATCGAGCGTCATTGTTTGACAAGCTGTTCACGAGCTGTGAAGGGTACATGCCATAAACGAACAACGACATCATGACTGTGAAAATCGTGAACAAAATAACGAGAATCCGATCCAAAACTATCCCAATATCCAACCAGTCATTTCTCACTCCTTCCTCGTCGTTTTTCTGTCCCATAACGGACGCAATTTTTGCCAGTATTCCCCGAATTTCACCCAGATGCGATTTCATTTCAACCAGCAAGCGTCCGTTGTCGTCGAGTTTTGTCGGTTTGACGTTAGTAACCAGTTCTCGAATAGGAGAGTCGGCAATTCCGTACCGAGTGGAACCGCAAGAGTTTTGATTCGCCAGTCGATAGCTGCAGCTGTCGCTCGTTTGTTGCCAAGGAGTCTCGGGACTCGGTCTGGTAGGACTTCGTTGTGGGTACTTTTCACCTGTGACTGATTCGGACCCGGTGGCTTGCTCGTACGGACACCTCGCCGGAGTCAAATGTCCACACCCATTTTGGGTAACATAAAACTGAGAGGACCCGTTGGGGACATAATGGAATATTTTCAGTTCAGTCTTGTTGGTCTCATTGTTGTAGTTTGTGGTGCAGTTGTTGTGAAGGAGGTCCAGATCGCCATCGTATGTGGCTGAATTAGATTGGAGCATTGGTTTCTCGAACCCTCCTCCTGTAAAGCCCCCATCTGTTGAGTGAGTAGGACTGTTTATGAGTACCTTGTACTTCTTGTGGTAGCTAGGGGCTACAATGCGTGCCATGTACTGAAGGAAAAGGACTTTGACCCAGTGGGGAACGGGGGTGTCTCGATTGACCACATTCAGTACCAGCACGTTCAAAGCGGTCGATGTTGTGATTAGAAGTAGAGTCACTCCATAGTATAAACCTGAAAGACACACCAGTGTTTTTGAGAATCAAGGGTTTAAGGCTACTGTTTTTTGCCTTAAACTAAGACTTGGAACGCTGTCGTAGAACACATTATACATATAAAAAATTTTACATTCTTGTTTATCTTCAATAGAGATTGCCGTATGAGAAATACTACGGTAACTTCTTGATTACGAAAAGAATGTAAACTGCCTATTTTGGAGTATTTGTAGTTTTCGGCTAGTCTAAGGCGTTCTTACGGAGAGTTTTCTTAGGGTATTTTTATTCGGGGCAATTCATTTAGCAGCAGTGAATATTCATTACCTAGAAGTGGCTGCACGTCACTCGGTGGCATCATAGTCCCAACTAGTAGTAGAAAGACACACATGGAGGTAAAGAGGGCAGTGCCCAGTTGAACTTTGGAGTCGCCTGAGTTGCAGGGCAGATATTGGCCGAATAACATGACGAGAGTCAGCATCAGACACGGCATGATGAGGTTCACCACGTAGTATAGTGCCTCAAAGTTGAAATCATATGGCAGTGAGAACTTATATCTTATTATTGCTAGTTTTTTTGGCGTATTTTATTTCAATGTGAAAGTGTTTTCTAGTTTCAATGTGAAGCATTTCAAAGTTCAGAAATATTCTAAGATATATTTTTTTAATGATTAAAACGGAAACATGCAAGTTTCTGTAATATTTAATTTTAGTGTATCTGAGCATATATTTACCTTTCGTCGCATTTTGATGTTGAATTTGACGAATGAGTATCCGCCGTCTCCCTCTATGTATGTGATGTAAGACACCTCCGTGTACGCCACCAGCAGCTGCCACTCTGTACTTGGAATGTAGTCATCCAAGTAGATAGCACCTTCAGTACTCGTCAGATTCACCTGAACAAATCCAACAGCAAAGGTCTCGGATTCGATTCCACAGTTACTGACTGTTGTTTCGACCCTGTATTTGACTGGAACTTTGAACCCATGAATGTTTTTTTTGTAATCATGTTTTTAAAAAACGTCTAAATTTTCTCATTTAGACGTTTACCGCATTTTCACTTCGAGGTTCACGAAAGCGGCGAAGCTGAACCTAAGTATGTTTTAAGTCGACAAGAACGCCTGATTTCTACTCAAATTATGGGTTACCCAATACATATTTACACCGAAGACTTTAGTCAAGGTGTTATGGTATCGTGTAACGGGTTTTTTTTTTTAATGTTGTCTGTTGTCAAGTGTCGACAAATAACGTCCACAGTTATCAATTATCATGTGGGCTGGACTATATCGCGCTATGTCACGTGATTGCGTATGTTTGTTTCTTTATTTGTTCATCTTTTTTTATTTAATTATCTGTTCTTCTATTTATTTAATTATGTTTAGTTTGCTTATATTTATTTATAATTTATGTATGTACATATTTATTTTTGTTTATTTTTATCACGTGTTTTGTTTATTTATTTAATTATTCTTTCTTTCATTTAGTTTTGCTTTTATTATTTCTGCGTGTGTATTTATTTAATTTATTTATTTTCATTTATTTATATTATGGGCCTGATTGAAGTTTTGTTCATGAATACCAACATTGGTACATTTTTCAGATCTGTGTCATGTCTTTGCAAGTATTTTTTTTGTTTTTTGGATTTGTTTTTCGGATTGTTTTACTGCTACATACTGTCAATTCTGAGACTGCTTCACAATTTCTCAATATAATAAGACTAATAGCTTTTTTTCATTTTAGCTCTTTCTTGTAACTATATGTGTAAGTACGATTTTTAGTTATTCCGGAGACCCATATGAGTCTACATGCCAATTTATACGATTGGCCGATTGAAACGACAGGAGGCGTTTTGCTACACATACAAACACAATCTTTTGTATTTTATTATAGCTATAGAAATTGATCTACAATGCGTAAGTACGACATTTAGTTCTACGATTGTTATTTCAGGTCCTTTGTCAATATTTCAGGCTCTTTGTCAATATAGCAAAATTTTGGTGTATATATGTGTTTGTAAGATTTTTAGTTCTACAACGTTTATTCAGGCTCTTTGTCGATATAGCAAAATATTGGTGTATACATGTGTTAGTACGATTTTAGCTCTAGAATTGTTATTTCAGGCTCTTCGTCAATATAGCAATATTTTAGCGTATACATGTGTTAGTACCATTTTTAGTTCTCGAACTGTTATTTTATGATCTATGTCAATATATCAAAATTTTAGTGTATACATGTGTTATTACGATTTTTAGTTCTCGAACTGTTATTTCATGATCTTTGTCAATATATCAAAATTTTATTGTATACATGTGTTAGTACCATTTTTAGTTCTCGAACTGTTATTCCATGATCTTTGTCAATATAGCAAAATTTTGGTGTATACATGTGTTAGTACGATTTTTAGCTCTAGAACTGTTATTCCATGATCTTTGTCAATATAGCAAAAATTTGACGTATACATGTGTTAGTACGATTTTTAGCTCTCGAACTGTTATTTCATGATCTTTGCCAATATAGCAAAATTTTGGTGTATACATGTGTTAGTACGATTTTTAGTTCTAGAAGTGTTATTTTATGATCTTCGTTGATATATCAAAAATTTAACCTATACATGTGTTAGTACGATTTTTAGTTCTAGAACTGTTATTTCAGGCTCTTTCTCGATATAGCAAAATTTTGGTGTATACATGTATTAGTACGATTTTTTGTTCTCGAACTGTTATTTCATGATCTTTGTCAATATATCAAAATTTTATTGTATACATGTGTTAGTACCATTTTTAGTTCTCGAACTGTTATTCCATGATCTTTGTCAATATAGCAAAATTTTGGTGTATACATGTGTTAGTACGATTTTTAGCTCTAGAACTGTTATTCCATGATCTTTGTCAATATAGCAAAAATTTGACGTATACATGTGTTAGTAAGATTTTTAGCTCTCGAACTGTTATTTCATGATCTTTGCCAATATAGCAAAATTTTGGTGTATACATGTGTTCGTACGATTTTTAGCTCACGAACTGTTATTTCAGGCCCTTTGTCAATATAGTAAAATTTTGGTGTATACATGTGTTAGTACGATTTTTAGTTCTAGAAGTGTTATTTTATGATCTTCGTTGATATATCAAAAATTTAACCTATACATGTGTTAGTACGATTTTTAGTTCTAGAACTGTTATTTCAGGCTCTTTCTCGATATAGCAAAATTTTGGTGTATACATGTATTAGTACGATTTTTTGTTCTAGAACTGTTATTCTTCAATTATTAGTTGTTCAAGTTGTTTGGTTTTTGCTTCAGTTTCTATGCCTTCGGTGTATTGCGCGTAGCGCCTATGTGCTACTTAGGGGACTGTCCAGTTATTTGTAATTGATGAAGTAAGTCCAAGACAATGTTAACAAAACTCGAGAAACCAGTTGAGATGTAGATATTATATGTAAACATTAGACATGGGTAAAAAACTAGCTATGGTCTTATCCCATGAAAAAGTCAGTCAGAAAAGTTGTTAAATGTAGTTTCTACGTTTTGCCAGTGAGTTGACATTTTTGATAATTTCATTTCTGGAAAATTTTAAGAGGTAAATCTAGCGAAGAAATGGTAACATGTTTTCTTTTGTTTTCATCCACTTGAAGTAAATTTCAAGAGGTCTGGTGGAAGTAAATTTCCAGAGGTCTGGCGGGACCAGACTTCTAAACGAGCTTTTGAATAGGACTCGTCAAAAACAAAGAGAACATACTTCTAAACCAGTACTTTAGACATGTCATGGACTCACCTGAATGGCACTGTATGCCCACGAGGAGAATTTGAGGTAACAGTGTTGCACATCGAAGGGGAAATAGAGAACATCTATCCTACAGTTGCTCTGCAGAATGAGAGGTCGTGGCCATAGAGTGACTGAGCCGTCATGACTGGCCACTGCGGTACTGGCAAACATGTTGGCCAGAATTGGATCCGCCTCCTGTGCACTGAAAAGAATTTGAAAACGATTAAAGGATGCGGCTTTTTGGCTTTCCTCCCTTCTGTTATTTATGCCTCGATGAGCGTAGCGTAGAGTTGAGTCAAATTGAACGAGTTATAAAATTGTAACAGATTCAGTCCTGGCTCAGATTTCGATAATGTCTTGATGTCGAGAAAATCTTCAACTTTTTATCTATTCCGACTAGTTTTCAGTCACTTTTTGCTAGCTCTTTTTGTGTGTGCTCTTTCTGGCTGCTCTATTTCGACTAAGAATATGTTGGCTTAGTTCTCGGTCTGTTTATTGGTTAAATTAAAGCAGTTTTACTTATTTTGTAATACTCTGCGGATTTCGGCAATGTTTTGGTTCTCTTAAATGCAGTGCTGATTTAAATTATCAGGAAAAATGAACAAAATTGGGAACTTTAAACGCATGTTTTCTCATAGTAGATTGAGGTTAGTAAAAAAAAAGTGAAGACAACAAATATAGCTTACAATTTTACTACACTTTTTTTGGTGTAAAGGTTTTTGCTGAATTTGGAACCAAAATTTCAACCCATAAAGGGGTAGTTTTGTTTTTTCTAAATAATCAGAAGTTACGCTATAATCACTTTGTCAATTGATGAGCATGTTATATCAAAGTAAGCCTTTTACACAGCCCAGAAAAGTTCTAGATGGGTATAATGTATCAATAATCTGTATGATTAAATTGATTTGTTTGGTTGCCAAAATATGTCATTTTGACTTAATAAAAGCGCAATTTTTTTTGCTTTAAAACAAGTGTCAAACGTGTGCAAACTGTTGGAGATTATAACCTAAAACTTTGTCGGGTTGTGTAAGAAGCATACATGATAAACTTCAAAAAAGCCTTAAAAACAGCCCTTGTTTCACAGCCTCTTACACAGCCGTGCTTATCAATTGACGAAGTAGTCTGAGCAGAATTTTTGATTGGCTCAAAGAAGCTAAGTTTTGGGTTAAACAGTGAAAGAAATAGATTTTGTCCATTTTAACAAACGATTCCGATAATGAGGAATTTACTATTTTAAAGCCGTTTATCGCACTTGTGATATTTAGTGGTTTTGAACCCTATGGCATTTTAAAACTTGGTAGAGCAAGTGTCTTTTAATCAGGAACTAGACTTTTTCCCGTAAACATCTTTTCTTTCACATTCTCAGCTTGCCTTTTTATTGAACCTTTACAAATTGTAGGTGCCTTCCCACTTGGCTTAGAGGTGGCATCGTTTCCTTTGTATCCTAAGGTCTGTTGTTCGAGTTCAGGCCGGATCTTTTTTTTGTTCGTCTGCAATTGAATTTTTTTCTGGTAAAAATTGAGTGGCCGCACTTTTGTTTGTCTGCTCAAGTTTTGTCGGCTTAGTTGATTCATCACGGACTTTGCTTGTGCTGTACGCCACTTTCGTTGTAGATGCAAGTGTAAGTATTCATCGTAGTTTCAGGGGGGCTTCAAACTACTATTTTTTAAAAAATAAAATTAATTTTTCTGGCTCAACTAGTATCTGCTCAAAGATTGTCTGTTTTGTTTCCTCGTCGTAAGTTTTGTTCCGTTGCTAATTTAATATTCAAATATCTGGCATGTTTGCCTAGAATTAACTTCTATTGAGACATACTAAAGTTTAAGTTTTGGTAGGCCTAGTTTTTTCAACGATTTACTTTTTTTCAACTTCTGTTTTTTTTATGTTTGCGTAGTATCGCTATTAGTGCGAAGCTCAATGGGAGGCCAAACTGTGTATTTTGTGAATTGTCAGCGGATTCCGCAACAAGGACGCTCTCTTTGCTCTTTTTTGTTCTTACGGGTACTAAACGATTACAATCGGGTACTATACTTTTTTTTCCCGTAAACGACTTTGCCCACAGGACTCATTGGACTCCTAATGTGCCTTGCTTCATAATGAGTTGAAATTTTGTAGTTTCTCTTTCACACTTAGCTTGGGGGGTAATGAATACGCCTGGGAAAGCAAAGGTCATGTGTTTGAATCTGACGAGAACCAGTTGTTTTTTCGAACAGAAAATATTCCGAATCAAAATAAATTCGGCCTTTTTTGTCTGCTTATATTTTGTCGGCTCAGTTCCCACATCTAAGGATCGTTTATTTAAGTTTACATACCGCTTACTATTTATTTCTCTTTCACACTTAGCTTGGGGGTAACGAATACGCCTGGGAAAGCAAAGGTCATGTGTTTGAATCTGACGAGGACCAGTTGTTTTTTCAAACAGTAAATATTCCGAATCAAAATAAATTCGGCTTTTTTTGTCTGCTTATATTTTGTCGGCTCAGTTGCCACATCTAAGGATCGTTTATTTAAGCTGTAAACAATTCTCACTGCAGTTGCTTTTAGCATTTTAAAAATCAGGCCGAATCGTAGTTGGCTTTTCACAATGTTTGTAACTTTTCATAATGGTTGTGCTCTTCACAATGATTGTAATCAATAGGTGCGACGTAGTGGCCTCTCATTATGTCCTTCAGACCGAAATAATTTTTTAGGCGTGTGTGTGTGTGCTTTGAGTGGAAAAAAGAACTTAACATTTTTTTATTTTTGTTTTTAAAAACAAGTTTAGATTTTTTCATTTTTTCGACATGAAAGGATTCTGCTCAGGTATTTTCGGCTTTGTTACCGCTTGGTATTTATAAATTCAATAAAACAAATACAATCAACCATCTGGCGTAGAAGTAAAACAGCAGTTTTAGATGGCAAAGGCTTGACGTTTTAATTCGAACGGGACCTTTTTAAAAACAGAGTTTTTGTGCTTTTCGGACTATCGTCTGTCTGTTTATTTTTGTCGTCTTGGTTCCCGTAGCTCGATGGTTCAGCTTTTTTCCAAGTTGCTGTAAGCCCCATGATTGAGACGACAAAGACCGGGAGTTCGATTCCAGATGAGATATGTATTTTTTTGCAAATAGAAAGTTTCGGCTAATTTAGATTATTGTCTGTCTACTTTCTTTGCTTAGTTCCGCAGAAAGGATTTCTTTGAAAATTTGCTTTTTATAGCATTCCCAAAGCTGTTTGAAGAGCTTTCAATGATGCTTCCAGTTTAGTCCCGGATATTTTGGGCAGTTGTTGAAATTTTTATTGACAAAAGCGATTTGTTGAAGTTTTTTTTTCATTTTTCCGTTTGATTTTAATCATAGTCATTCATGTTTGTATCGCAAGTGGGGCGAAGCTGAGTTTCGCCTCTGTGTAAAGAATTGGCTCAGGATTCCAGAGAACTACAAACTCTCAGGATTCCAGAGTACTACAAACTCTCAGGATTCCAGAGAACTACAAATTGAGGGTTGGTAGACCATATAAGGATGCCGTAGTTTTAGTAATTGATGTAGATTTTCTGAGCACTTGCATCCATCATTAAATTCGCTACATGAATAGCCAACTAACATTGAATTTTTTTGTTGTTCCCATTTTAAAATAGTTCCGCTTACGTGTTTGCATTTATGGCTGGCTCCCAATTGGGTTTGACCTTCTCAGCATAATTGCATGTCTATGTCGGTAAGAGTATTTATTTATGTAGCCCTTGAAAATATACGTATGAAATGGGGATCATGCATAAACTAGGATTAAGGCAAGATCCTTGTTGCTCGTTGGCAGAGAGAAGCTGATTAGATAAATGCTTGAATGTTGAACTCAAAATTGCGTTCCAAGTATCTATTCGCTAATCCATAGGCTCTCCAATCACACAGACGTCAAGACTGTAATTGGTACTAGATGATGTCTGCTTTTGAAATTTATAAATTGAAGGATGTCCTTGTGGGGGTCTTAAGGTAACCCTCGAAACTCATTCATATTTTTGAATTTTATTGTGTGCGGTCAAGATATTTATTGAAGTTCACAAGAGATCATTATGTCAACACAAGATTATTGCTGACGCATTTGAAATTGACATAGAAAATTAACTACTGATTTTTTTTGCACTAGCGTTCAGAAACTTGCGTTTTAATTTTTTATCTCTGTCCCTTTTACATTTGGTCCAATACAGAAAGCCTAAAAGCCAATTGCGGTGAAAAATTAATCTTTTGAAAAGTTTGAACTAGATCGGGATAAAGTCTTAAATCGTGGAGTGAAATTAGAAAACCTAAACAATGACTTACAGGGCTGCAATAAACATTTAGAAAAACGAGTAGCATTCAAGTTCGGTTGACTATAGGAATGTATACTTACTTGTTGTAGAGAGTTAGGTCTGGTAGCCATAAGTGTCTGGCTGGAATTCGAATCCGGTCCATGCCCCATTCACTTGCATTCCACCGCAAAAACTCGTCCTGCCAGGTCTAAATGCGCAATACGGTTTTACGTAAAAAATTATTCGCCATTTTGTAGCGGAGTTAACACTTCCAAGTCAGTTACTGGACATTTTTTTCCCGTAGAAATTAGTTTAGAGAGCTATAATTTGATTGACTGTCTAAATGGCATCAAAATTGTATGTTTGATTTGTGGTGACTTCCTAAGAATCTGTACCAAATTTTCTCCTACGCTTATGAAAAAAACGTGTTGAAAATGCTATAAAAACTACCGACGATTAGAAATTTGGTGTAATTTTGAATGGATTTTTGGTCAGATAAATATTGCTTGTTCATCGAACTTATCTTTTGAAGCATTTAGTTGTTTGTGACTGACGGCAAACCATTTCATTGCAGCAACTTTGGTTCAATAAGAGTTGCGTAACTCTTAATTAGAAACTTGCTAGTTTGACAGTAATTTTTCTACCAATTTTACCCGTCCACGGGTACTTTCTTCGGTCACTTTGAGGGGTCCCAGTGTCATCCGCCTCCTTTAGATGGGAGCGGCTGTGGCAAAATGGATGACATCTCTCTCCCCCACGAAATAAGCCCAAGGTGAAATGGTGTGAGATGGGCCGGGGGAGTCCCCTAATTTAGTTTCGCTGCTTCACTACTTAACCTGCTGAGAGACTTCAATTGCAAGTTCTAAATTTCAGATTTGTTTGATTGATAATAGATCTCAATGAGGCCTATTTTACTGCAGGGCCATACGAGACCCCTAACCCAAATAAAATACAATGCAGAGGGAGATCTATTGTTCTCAGCAGCAAAAGACAAATCTTGCAATGTATGGTTTTCAATTAACGGGGAGCGTCTAGGAACTTATGAGGGCCACAACGGTGCTATCTGGTCTGTGGATCCCTCGTATGACTCCAAGCATCTCTTGACTGGTTCCGGAGACTACTCCTCGATTTACTGGGATCTGGAAACGGGAAAGATCCTTGAAAAAATTGAATGTGACTCGCCTGTTCGGTCTGTCGGATTTTCCTACTCGGCTAAAGAGTTTTTCCTTGCGACAGATCAAATTGGCAATAAAGACGCTGAAATCTTGCTTTTTGACTCGCGCGATCGAGATCAAATGATGAATACAAAACCATGGCAATCAATTGTAATGCCCCGAAGTCATCCGAAGCTAACTGTGGTTATCTGGGGACCTCAAAGTCAGATTCTAATCACTGGCCATGACAACGGAGATCTAAATTTGTTCAACCCGAAGACCCAAGACAGAGTGACTCACAGTACAGGGTATCATGACAACCGAATTAATGATTTACAAACTGGAAGAGATGGACTCTTACTGATTTCGGCATGTAAAGACCAGACAGCCAGATTATGGGATCCGTTTTCTCTGGACTTGTTGAAGACCTACAAGACTGACCGCCCTGTTAACTCGGCGGCCATCTGTCCTAATAAAGATCACGTGATCATCGGTGGTGGTCAGGAGGCACAAGATGTGACAACTACTGCGGGAAAAGTGGGCAAATTTGAGGCCAAGTTTTACCATATGGGTAAGCTCCAAGTTTCGGCTATCTGATATTTTGCCGTTCGACTCCCAGTTTTTCATTCTTATACCTTCTATAAGTTGGTATGTGTACTCGACTAGGAGTGACTCTAATTTAGGCTCTATGGTACCCTTATTTCTTGATGCCAAGATTACTTGTCAAATGGCATATCTGTTCCAAGTTGATAAACACATGTAGATGGTGAATATGAATTTTTTGAACTTGACTTCATTCGAATCAGCTTGTTTGAATTGAAAGGTTTCCTTGTTATAGTGTTTGAGGAAGAGTTCGCAAGGGTGAAGGGACATTTCGGTCCCATCAACTCCATTGCAATCCATCCTGACGGAAAGAGCTACAGCAGTGGAGGAGAGGAGGGTTACGTGCGAATGCACTACTTTGACCAGAACTACCTCGAGTTCGATTTCGAACAGTAGCCACCGAAGAAATAAAGACATTCTAACGCAAGAGTAAAACACCAATCTACAAAACCAATTTCATCGCCACGATTCGTAGACGGAAAGTTACGGAAATCTGCCTGTTGATTTCAAGGCGAAAGCAGTACGAATCGTTTGATCAGAAACTGTTGAGTTAGCGGAAAAAACAGAAGAAATTTAATCAATATGAAATGTTTTGACGTGGACACAGCTGTCGTGTCATCATTTAGGTTAACTGATGAATTTATTATTACAATGGTTTTCATCGACCAGGTACTATTTTTCTTTAGATTTCAGCTTTCATTGGGAAATTTTATAATCAATTGAATTGGTAAATGTTATTTGATTTACTAGTGGCTGGTCAGTGAGTTTTGATGTTATTAACGTCTGTTTTCTTGAAATGCCTGCAACTATATATGATTATCTAATGCGTCTTGCTTCGTACGCTTTATTGGGATAATATGGTCAACGAGGTTAATAAATTATTTGCCATGCTTTTTCAAAAATGAAGGATGTATGATGTAATAACTTACCAGAATCAGCCAAACATTCGATAACAACACTTGCTCTTTTTCACTCTGAAAACAAAAGGTACCTTGTATATAATAACAAATGAAATATTCAGGAAGCATTCAATGTTTCGCTGAACAAAGAACTTTCTGGAAATCAGGGGCGGATCTTTTTAGGTCGACCAAATAGATTTTCTGAGCGCTCCCCAATCACTCCAAAGACCGCATTTTGAATAAATTTTCTGCGCGGCAGGTAAAGTTTTGAAAAAAAACGGGCCAAAAAGCGCTCACCCCTAAAATTATTATACATTAATGCTTTTAAAAACGATTAAGTTTTGAAGAAAAAAAAGCTGGCCAAAAAGCGTTCACCCTTGAAATTATTATACTTTTTAAAAAAATTAGGGTCAGTCAGCCAAAAACGGAGGTCTTAAAATAGCTACAAAGGGGAATCCTTTGGGTCGGAAGGTTCGAATGCAAAGATTCAAGACATTCAAAACATGAATGTTCGCAAAAGAACCAAAAATTTTTGTTTCGACAATTTTTAACTTCGCTAAAAGGGATTATTTGTATCAAGCAAAGATACGTGGCCCATCAATTAGTGCGGAGCTGGTTTCAAACGCGTCATTAGCAATTAACGAACGCTTTCCCCTCTCGGCTTTTATTCGGTATTGGTAGTTGGAACTGTGTGCTTGTATCGGCACGAGTGATACCGAGTTTTTTAGAATATTAACCGCACCTAAAAGGCAAGAAGTGCATAGCTGTCTCTTTTCGAAGATTTCATTCAAATTGCGGGCAAGTTTTTGGCTTTAAAGTGACGGAAAATTGGTCATTCAAATTTCGGTCAAATTTTTGGCTTTAAAAATTGAGACTAACCAGCTTCAAAATCTGCACCAGATACATAGAGAGGTCCAAAAATATAGTAGTGCTGATGTTTTTTACGGGGCGTGCTCGGCTGTCGTAACTGTGCAGCAGGTGCTCCAGCAGAGCCGCCTCATTGAACTTATCCTTGTTGACCTTTGAACTTGAACCTGTGGTCAATTGTGTGGTTGAAGGCGACTCCTTCCCAAGTAACTCAGTAGCCATTAAAAGAACTATTACTGTGACAGTAATAAGAATTGTCGGAGTGGAATACATCTTGCAAGTCGCTTGTGGCGAAGAAAGAGTAGCTTTGATCAATGATGTAAAATGAAGGTTGCTGAAAAAAGAATGAAGCCGTTCTGAAATTGACAGGTTAGAATGTCTTCAGTGCTGATTAGAGAAACTCTGAATATAAAGTTGCCTGGTGTTGAAGGCGAAACAAAGGCTTGCTATTTTTAATCAAAGGTATGTGAAGCGCAATATTATTTTTTGGGCAATAAACTTAATTAAAACACGTTTTTGGTTCTTTCCGGTGATAACCTTGCTAAATGATTGCCTCCAGAGCGCTGAATCAATCAGGAAAATTGGAAAAATGCAATTTAAATGACAATTAAAAGAGCATTTGGCCTGATTTATGTCATTACGGGGAGAAAACTACAATCAGAAAAGAACCGGTGCGAAGTTACTTTTGATGAAAACGGCTTCATTTAAAGTTTCCAATAACTAAATATATAATAAGGAAATATTATATTAAGGATAAAATTTTTGGAATTTTCAGATTATAATTTGCATTACATTGCTGCGTGCAAAAATTAAATTAAAGCAATTCTTTTACTCAAAAATAGTTCGAAGAGATATTTGAACTACGTCGATGCTTTTGATCTGATGCTTTTTTTTGTTGAAACTCCTTCAGCAATATTGCAAAAACTAATCCTAAGGCTTTTTTAATGGCAGTGAAGTAAAAAATTTGGTAGATTTTACGCAGATATTTTTTCAATTAAACTGTCATGACATGATACAACTTAGTAAAACAAATAAGCTCAAATTGAAAAATAAAATTTCCATGTTTGCGGTTTCAAAGCTGGATGTATTGATTTTAATAATGTCCAAAGGAGTCGATTTGTTTTGATGCCAAGTTTTTTTCATTCTATATGCAGAAATTTTGCTCCAGTTTGCTTGAAAGTTTGAAGAAAGCCGGCTATTAGAGCCAACTGTACGTTTGCATTTTTTAATGTGGTCAGTTTCTAAGTTTTGGATTTTCATTAAATGAGTATTTCTGATTCCGAGAAAAGGTGTGGCAATGTTTACAAAAGGTTTATATTCTGTTTGGTGAAGTTTTTTTGTGCATTAAATTAGCAATAATTTCAGTTTTTTATTCACCATATTTGCACTTGCGAGAGCCGTGGCTTTTTACCGGGAACCAGTCTTTTTTTCCAATGAAAAACTTATCTGAAAAATCTTAGTAATTATTATGATACGAGTTGGCCGTTAAAATGAACACAAAAAATTAATAAGGAGCTTTGCATTACTTGCGATGCAGCAGTTGATATGACAAGAAAAGAAACTTTTTTCAATGTTGCAGAAATTTTTTCGAAGAATACCAGAAAAATCTTCATTCTTATTTACGACCCTGAATAAGCGCATGTGTTAATAAAAGATTATAAATGATGATAATTATAAAATAAGCCGACAGAGTTTCACTAAAAAACCAGAAGCCGAAAAGTTATCAGCCAAATATATATCACAAAACTTGATAATTATATTTATTTATACAATGGTCGGAGAACTAAATTTAACACTTTGCTCCAACTAAATTGATCATTCAAAAAAAATTGAACGGAACCTAAGCCGACAAGAATTGAGCAGCAGATTAATCCACTGCATAAAATTGTCATGAATAGCAAAAAGAAATTCAAGGCAAACCCTTAAATCGTTAGGATTTTTAAAACTAGGGAAGATCAATTACTAATTGATCTTGCTTACTTTTAACAATCCTAATAATTTTAGGGTTTCTTATTCAATTTCTTTTTGCTACTCATGAAAAATTTTTGCGAGGGACTTATGTGCGGATTAATTCTTGTCGGCTTAGGTTCCGTTCTTTTTTTTGAGTGATTAATTTAATTGGACCAAAATTTTAAACTTAAGTCTTCAGCTATTGTATAAATAAATATAATTATTGACTTTAGTGATATATTTTTGGCTGATAATTTTTTTTGGCTTACTGTTTTTTTTGCTGAAACTCTGTCGGCTTATTTTATAATTATTATAATTTATAATCACTTATTAACATGTGCGCTTATTGAGGGTCGTAATTAGTAATAGATTTTTCTCGTTATAGAAATTAGTAGTAGTAGAAGATTTTTCTCGAATCTTTCAAAAAAGTTTCTGCAACTTTGAAAAAACTTTGTTTCATTTTTTCACATCAACTGCTGCATCGTAACTGGTGAGAAGCTCGTTTTCAATTTTTTGTGTTCATTTCAACGGCCAACTCGTATCATATGTGAATGCCAGTTTTTTTGAAAAAAAAATTAATCCTTACACAATTTAAAATGTGAACGCTTTTTCAGTCATTAATTCTGTCGATTTAGTGCTCTTGTTTTTTCGATTACGAAATTGTTGTGCACTTTTTGGGTCAGTCAGTGCTTTTTTTCAAGAAAAAATTTTAGTTTTCAGAAACTCGACGGTACGCAAAAATGCGTGGTGGTTTAGTTAGTTATTGTCAAATTAGGGTAGTTTTCAGAAAGTTCAAATTTATAAATTCTACTTCAAACAATGTTTGGATAAAAAACTAAAAAAAATTACAAAATAGATTTAAAAATGCCTCTTTGGGTTACGAACAGTTCTTTAAATTATCTTTGGGCTCTACACCGTAGTTGACTAGTTTTTTAAAAGTAAAAAAAATTATTGAACCAAATTTTGTGACACTATTTTAAACCAAAAAGTCAAATCAAACTGCTTTTGAAATTCTTTGGTTAACAGTACTCGAACTGAAATTTTGACGCAATGGAAACTTTATCTGTCGACCACTTTTGAAAAATTGAGTGACTTTTATCAAAAAATGTCAATGCTTGAAAACAATTGGTTTTTCTCTTTGAAACTCAAAAATTAAAAAAACTGAAAGTTAGAGCTCTAAAGCGATTGAGTCTGATATATTTTGAATTGCTTGAGAAAACTCGAAAATTAACAAATATGCTTTAAGCTCCAAAAGTTTTAGTTTTTATGAATTCATTAGCAGTTTTCGAATTGTGTTTGGCGAAGTTCTAGCTGTATTGGCCCTATGAAAGAACATTCATTGCTGCCTTGATGCCTAGGATTGAATTTGGCGTGAAGGCAGATTACTCAAAGATGTCATATATAAGTAGTTGAGGCAAATGAGTTTGGTCGGGCGGTTCGAATCACGGATTCTTGGAGGTTTGGTTAGATTGGTAGGTTTGATTTAATTTTGTGTTTGGCTTCTTTCTTATTGTTTTGTTTGCATTTGTGGATTTTTCAGAGAACTTTTTGGCCGTTTTTTTGTTTGAGTCTGGACATTGCAGCTTAATTGGAGTTTCCAAAAACTGTTTAATTATCAAAAATAATTGTGGTTTCTGCGATTCGCAGAGGATCTATCCATCCTAGCCATATCTAACACCATCCAACCTATCTTAGCATAGTCAGTTTCTCTGATTACCCCAAACTCCAGACTGAGTTATTTTGTTGAGCGTTGCTGTTTTTTTTAGTGACTCAAAAACTTTTCTTACGTCTAGAATTTTCACTTGATAACCCTTTTGCAGCTAAAATCGGTCAGGCTGTGGTAAACCTGAAGCTATAGGTCAAGAGAGAGCTCGTCTTTACACACCATCACTACGCAGGGGATCGATTACCCGATCTGACGATCATAAAGGGAACGCTTTACCACTGTGCAAGGTACAATAAAATAACTAATGATGATAAAAAGTTGTTGAGTTTGCTGAAGTTTTAAACTTGGTCACGAAGTCAGCCTTGCAGTAGCAATTCTCTCCTATTCACGAGGATACGTTTGATATCATTGTATAACTAAGCATGGTGAACCTGGGCAGTTTCCTTTATTGAAAGTAGTTATATTTTTTTATGACGTCGAATTAAAGTCTATCTGCACACACGCAAAAAATTATGTACCATAGTTTACCTTATTTACCTTAATAAGTTAAGACCTATTTGGTTATACTCATAGAGTAATTTCAGATAAGGTACATCGTCTGCTCGTCACGCTATCTTATTTTCGGCCGGATAGATTCGTGCAACTTCTTAGTCAAATACCGATCTTAATCTTACTCTTATATCTCCTAGTCTCAATAGATCTAGTGTATACTGGTTTATGTGAGTTAGTTTCCAGAAGGAGAACAACTGTATTCTAAGTTTAATTCAAATTGCTCTGGTGCTGAAACTTCAAGTAGTTTCAGCACTTACAAATAAGTGTAAAGGTTAGAGATGGAATATGATTGGTTAGTTAGGAATATTTTATATGAATAGCGATTTATATTTAAAACCAACTAAGATTCTAGTTTAGAACTGGTTCCACCCATCCGGGGTTTAGAGAGTTTTAGTTTTTAAATGTTTAAGGTAGTGAAGGACGGGTGATGTAGTTTCTTGTTGAAGTTGCGAGCATTGACTTCTTGGAGAAAAGAGAAGTGTGGCTGTTCGTGTTTGACGGAGGAAGATGGTTATGTTCGTATCTTCTAGATGGGTCTCGTTGATCGTGGTAGTCTTGGGTTATTGTGTCAAGACTTCTGAGCGATGCAATGATCTATCGATTTCGTTAAGTTTAGATCGAGACTACGTGCAGAGTGAAATTTGGCTTTTCCGTGTGAAGTGCCAAGTGACTAGGATCTGTACGTGTAGTCAACATCGATATGGCCATTGGTCTGGTTTAATGGTTTTCCTTTGCTGCGATGTTGGGTCCATACTTTGAATCCTTTGAGGTAGTGACTTTAGGCAGCAAATCGAATAGATTTGCCATTCCGAAGTTGGAATGTGATTGGATTGTCGTCTCCTTTGCTGCTCGTCTTTTGGGCTTTACGAAATCTATACATGCTGCATTTATCATTTATATATATAATTTCCTTTGTTAGTTTAGTTTTAGTTATGATTTGTTATTGATGGTTATGGCAAAAGCGTTTTTATATTAGTTCAGTTTTTTTTAAGAGTCGCTCACCCTAGAGCAACTCTTGGCAAAAATAGAGTGTGGGTCACAAAGCGTGGTTGTAGCGCGGTGCGTTAGGCCGGCTATAGAGCATGCTCAGGACGTCCCTCTGTTTGGTGAGGCCAGGAATGTGGTATATTTTCGAGGTCTCTTTGTGCAGAGTCTCTTTTTGTGTT